CTTGATGGAAACACCTTAGGTGAAGGCTGTCCATTACGCATCCACACAAATTCACCGTTCTACGCATACCTTGCAAATACTAGTAAGCTCATATCAAACGTTTGTAGGTATATGAACAACTTTCCAAATATATCTTTATTTCCGACTTCTGATTTGACTTGGTCTGACATCTTTGGCTGGAAGAAAAAAGCGACGTATCATTACTAAGGTAATCTCTTAGTATCCCGACAATCATAATTAAAATACCTCTTAACTCGTAGAAGAGTCAAACTTCTCAGGTCTCTTGTCTCATGGCAAGCGAGACACATCTAGGTTGTTGTCTCTTCAATTAGTTTGTGGATAATTGCACGAAATTCAAATTAAGGCGTGACATGTGCAGTTCTGCGTCGTGTTTTTGTAGAGAATAAGGCCTTTGATCGAAAGTACTAAAGCCTAACCCCAACAATTATAATAAGCACTCGCACTGATCTTGCACGTACGAATACATCTGCGCCCCACTCATACATCATAGGCTCTCTCCATGTCTAGACCAAAATGGACCTCAAGTTCAGTTTGCCTTATTTTTCTTACTTTGCAGTTGTATTAATTACTTTTTCCACCCTATTTCTTCACTTGAAGTAGACAGGTAACTCACTGGACCTATCATTACTGTTAAACTAAACTCGGTCGATAAGGGACACTCACTACCACCCCAAAAAGTCAAGAGGACCGCACAATCGGCTGCCCACTACCAGTGGTCTTGCATCTATGGAACCTGTTACCAATCAACTGGTTAAGACAACAGAAAATAACATCAGCACCAAGTTACTGTGAGTTCCTTCCTGTTTATCCTGTATCAACATTTTACTCTTCTGTACACTATGTTGACTAGCAATTAATATTATTTCTCCACTCGTTCCCTTATCCACAACTCATACTTCTATACTCTTTCCGCCTGCTTAAATAAACAACTATCCTACAATATACCCTTCCTAACACTTATACTCTGATTGGCAAACTATACTTTAAATTATAGTCAACAGAGGCACTGAATCGATGCTTTACCCGCAGTCCATAGCTTGTAACTGCCTGATAAGCTTGTAAAATGGTACTTATAGAAATAGTGCTTTCCAACAGGTTGTGAAACAGAGGATTGTGTGAGGTATGACGTGTATACAAAAAATAAGCCTAAATGAGCCTAACATCACAAAAGGAGGGAGGGTGGAGTTACTGACCAGCAAGCATTAATGGTGAGGGCGATAACTTCAATCCACCCGTGTTTGTGGGGACAGAACATTTTGTATGTACCAGGCTCTTTATAATTGAGAATAAGACAGTCAATCTGAGATATAGATTGTCTTCCTGCGCTCACCACTCAGACTCATGTTTCCAATATTATGCTGGACTAGCTATTCTACTAAGACAACCTATAACATGCTAACTCGGACTTTTACACTAGGATTGCGTGGCCGACATCGGATGGACAAAAAAAAGAAAAAAGACAATAAAAGATATAGTCACTAGTATTCTTAACACTACACCCTCTATATACACACCCTTCTAATAAACCGCTTCCCTTGTACCAACCTTGACTTCCTTTCCTTCATGTGAGCTTACTCCAACTTGTTAAATATCACAACTCATTGTTCTTTATTAGTACATTCTCTAATATGGAGCCTCGGACTTCACTTCACTCTAACAATACAAAGTATGAATTTATTCTGATTTATTCTACCTCTGTCCGTACTACTACACAATGTTAAGCAACGTTTATCGTTCATATCCAAGTGCCTTGCTGCTCTTCTGTTTCTCTTTTTTTTCTTTTTGAGAATCTTGCTCTGAGAGCACAGCTATGAAACTTCTGACGTTTGGAGAAAACCTGACGTACGCGTCCTCTCAAGGTCATAGTTTACAGCAAGCGCTCTACGATTTCACTTTATAACAACTATAAACTTAATAAGTTGGGAAGCATTTTGCGAACCAAAAAATGTTGTAATTTATAGATCATGCCTGTAAAAACGGTGTGTACCTGCACATGCAGAAATATATTATTATTATTATTATTAATTAATTAATTCTGAAGATTATTACTATTTTAACGTGGTTTACAATGCAGTACTATTTACAGTCTCTTTTCATACAACTATTCTTAAGCCCAATAAACAATAAGTCTAGAAATGGGGCTGTGAATGTCTATTTTAATTAAGTTCAGTTTGTTAAAGTGTATGTATTCCTAATTGATAATTTGTCGTGAGCTATAAATAGCACAACATAGTCAAACTCTATCTGACGTAGATGCTCAGTCGATCGCGAAGGGTATGTACAGTAGCATGAACATAGTATCACTATCAAGGATAAAATAATTGCTTTGAAAATTTATTCGTTTACTGGTACAGTCAATTAGGATTTGTAGGAAGTGTGGTGCGAATATATCATTGAAGTTGGGAAATTTTGACTCTTGGTGCGTTATTTCTGAATCTTAAGGATGAAAATAAATAATTGGTAGATGTGGAAGTGATCGTCAATTAACCCCCACAAAGATTGTTTGCATTGTTTTCAGAACTAAAGTAAATGTACAATATTCTTTCGGGAGACTATAGAAGGTTTATTGACTGTTTCCTGGAAAATTCGGGAAAACCTATATGTGGCCACACCAATGTTCCATCCTAAATGTATTTACTATTAGATGTAGTTTAGTATTAAAACGTAAATCAGTCTATTCGCGTAGAGAGATTATATCACCTCAATTCCCCTGCGAAACACAGAAAATATGGAATTTACATGGGGAAAAATTAAGGTACATTCGCTAATTCGAGTGAATTTGCTATCGGTCTTCCTTAATCCCATTTCGAGACAGAAACAGCTTTCTTGTGACTGAGTTGAATGACAAAGGAGTCTTTAGCAGATGGAATTTTGAGTATACATATGTTGTGTTGTACTGTGGATTTTGGACACATAACATGCAGTAAGCATTTACTACACCCTGTCCCAGTATCTGGGGCCTAATATCCCGGCAGTCAGAGATTATGATTGCTCAGTAAATTGGTTGGTTGATGTAATTGAACTAATCAAATAATAATAGAGTAGGTTCGAAACCACATTGGAGGCTATAACAAGATTGTTCATCCCATGATCAACACGTGAGCTATCACGCCACTCCCCATGAACTGGTAGGTGCAAGTACAGAAAAATCCGGAGTGTGCGAAACAGGCCCTATCTAGATCTCGCGTTACTCAAGAAACGCAGTTGGCATAAGGTAGATAAACTAATCAACCAGCCAGCCTGTAAAAATGGCCTGCACCTACCATTGCAGAAATGTATTATTATTCATATATTATTATTGGTCAAGAAAGATTCTCTCATCCATTAAGCGAAGAACAAAATATGGTGAGGTGGCCCGTTCGCATGCTAAGCGAGCGAGAGCCATAACAAAGCAATTTTGACACGTATGGAAGATGGCTGGGAAGCCAACTCCATTTTCATTAAGCGTTACTCAGTATTTATAGGCAGACAAAATAAGCTACAGACATATGATGAATCATGGGACATGAAATGTACACACATATACGCTCATGTGAAAACAGTCAAGGCTAATAAGCGAATAATTGACAAGGTCAAAATATGGCTCAAGTGAAATGAATAAAATAGGATGTCCGGAAGTTAGAATAAGGTATATGGGCTTGCCATAATAACTGACACTACAATGGCGGCGGAATTCCGGATATCTCGAAGAAATCCGATATAGTATAAGCTATTTCTGTGAATTATAATCTGGGTGAATAGTTATTAATACTTACCATTGCTACACTGTTAAGATACCAGCTGTCGAACCAGTCTCTGTTACTGACGAAGCTGTTGTTCAATCACTTCAGTCACTTTAAGAGTTTGAGTTTATGAAATAATTCTAGAAAAAGCATGCTAATTTACATTGGGCGCAAAAATGATAATTCATATACTATCGATGGCAAATCTCATCAAACGAACGAAAAAACCTAGTAGTAATAGGAAGCCAATATTCGAAAACAGCTTCGAGTACTTTGGTCACCTAACCAGCGTTATAATGCTTTGACGAAGTTATGCTTCGGATTTTATGTCCGCTTGGGTGACATTTCACTCAAAATATTGATTCCACGCAGCTAATCTATATTTTAATTAAGTCGCCAAACACTTTAACATGTTCGTTACGTGAGAATTAGGTTAGTGACAGGTCTTCCTAAGCTCTTCTACTGTGACGGATCAAAATATTGAAAACTTCTCTGATGCTTGGCGACCTTATAATGAAATTTTGTACCCCAGAAGATGATTTGAGTATTGAGCTGTGCTATCTTTTTGGTCTCAGAAATAATCATCTCCGAGGCCACAGTAAGAAGGTTCCCAAACCGTGATCAAATGAAGTCAGTGAGACTCAATCTTAACCTTCAAGTGGTCACGGATGATAACAACTTACTGGAACAATTGATATTAGCATCATAAGGAAAAACTTCAAGAGAGAAGCTGTACCTCCACAAGACAACAATCTACAAGAGTTAACACATGTCAACCGACCTACTATCGTTACCATCGAAAGCTGAAGTGATACTGTGTGATGACGTCGTGCTTCTATATCCTATGTCAAAGAACATGAAATCCCGTTCCTTTAACGGGACAGTGGACAGTTCAGCAATTCAGAAAAGAGGAAGATCGGCGTTTCTGTTTGTTGAGATTGAAATGTAGACACAGTAAGACCGTGACAACCCTGAACACCTTATTTCTTCTGTCGTATAACTGAGTGTTTTATATGTTTTCCTCATCAAATAACAGCTGAGAACTGTTTAATGATCTCAAATACTTATAAGAAGGTTTTGGCTACTTTTGAATACTATAGAGCGCAGTTTTACGATTGGTTCGCTACCTTGTTAGGAGTATCACACTTGATACTACTATGTAGAATACTTTTCATCACATTAGATTGTAAAGGGTTAGGAAATCGTTATCAAAGGAGTCTGGAGAATGCGAAGTCTTAGGATATTTAGAATACTATAATGCTGATGGAATGTTTGGAACCGATTTTGCGCCCTGCAGATGTAGCTTCCATTTTACTTTTAGTGTATATATGCATTCAGTATATAGGTTCGTTCCTTGTTTCTGGTAAAGATCATCACGAAAGAGCTGAAATAGTGCGTCAAAAGTTGGAAGCAGCTCGCGTAAGTTGGAAAAATTTGTTTAATGGAAGGGAATTCCTGATCACATGAATATTTATGACATACCTTTTGTCACTTTTCCCTCAAAGCTGCGGATCCTGAAACATTTTTTGGGCGAACTTTTGGACAAAATCGCAGGCCTGGGAAGAGTTTTAGCAAATTTTGGGAAAAAATCTCCCGGCTTTTGGGAAGTTTTAGGGTTTTCTCCAAAATTTATTATTTTGGAGAAAACCAGAGGAAAATCTAAGGTTTTAGTTGCATAATACCAAATTTCTGTCTTGGGGTTTGCTCGAAATTGCTAACCTTTTTCTAAAAGTCGCGCAAGTGGAAGTTCCAGTCTCTGGGAAAGTGGGTGAATTTAATAGAAATCCTACATGTGGGTAGATCTTGGGATTTTCAGTTGACTTTTGACAAAGTGTGCTCAAACGTTCCAATGGAGTTGTCTCAAAGTCAATTAATTTTGTCCCGAATTTAGAAGCTTGCGGTATATATTTATAAGAAAGTGACGCGCTTATGTTAGAAAATTCATAGATTTGCAGACTTGGTTTTGTAATTTATTTCAGTTGTCAGTTATTCAGGGTATTGAGGTTGTAGTTAGACTTTCCACCAAAATACACTAAAACCGTGAGTCCTCTTGATTGTGTTAGGAAGTACGGAATGTGAGCTTGTCTTTACAGTCATGAAAGGTATCTAAATACTGACATGTATTTTGATTTATTGGTACTATAAAAAGATATTAAGGGTCGCATGTTGGAATTTGATGCATCATCACTTTGTCATTTTCAAGTTTTGGGGCGATTAAAACGGATTTTCAGTCTACTTTAAATAACCAAAATTTAGTCAAGGTTTTCTGCCAAGGTCCTCTTAAATTGATACAGTGTGTAACATGGCGTTAGTTCCTCCGTCTTTTTATGTCTGTGGTCTGATATTAACCAACAATACTCTGGAAATGAAATGACTCATACTTTCTATCATTTAACTAACTATATTCTTATTTTTTTGTTTTAGAAATATACCCACAGTAAACCAATTATCTTGCTGATATCTTTAAGTGGAGTTAAAGTTTGTCATGAAAATAAGGAGGTGAGGTTTATGGTAAATTTCAATGTGTATCTTGTTTTCGATGTAACTAGTGTAAAAGAATGTAATTTCTTAACTTTGTTTGACATCTCGTAATTTCATTCAATGTTTTTTCTTATGCTTTTGGAAGCGCGTTTATATGGCTCATGCACTTCGACGAATTTCGTATGCTACCTGTGACCCAGAAAATCTTCAGTTTGCCTTCCTTGCCAGGGAACCAAAAGCACAACCGAATGTCCAATATTGTCATGCATTCGTCACTATAACACCTGAAGCAGTAAGCTTTTAGCACCTTGGTGTCTTATTTATCATCTTTCATATCCAGCATGGCGATAATAATTTTTTAATCTGCTAACTTGTCTGTTTTGTACTTGTAGTTAAACGCAAAATAAAAGACGTGAAAATGTTCCAAAACACAGAAAAAATAGTGTGAATAATTCAATTTCGTCGAAACAAACGTATGAAATTGATGAGAATCGGTTTCATGTTTATGTGATTGGTATTTTTGATACAATTTGTAATGACTTTAGTTACCACGTATGTCGAACATGTGCTGCATAGCTGATAAAACAGGTTTTAATTAATATGTATATGCAGATTTAAGAAGCTTTCACTGGCCGATATATTTATGGCTGTAATCTTAAGTTACACTTGACAGTTTCATCTTTCTAAGTTTCGGTCCTCTCCATCCTAACCAGGTTATTCTAGATAAATGGTTTTAATACGTATATGTGCTTATCAGATTTTTGCTTAACATCTGGTATGTTTACCAAAGTTCAACTTTTTAGTTTTAAAAGGCGGATATATTTACTCACTCATCTTATTGATTAAATTTTTCGGTTTAAGTCATCCTCATGATGGGCGATGATTGCTACTGTGGACTTCAGCCATCAACCCGTTAATTCTGTAAATTGTAAAGCATTCCAATTGTATAGTCGTATTAAATCAGGATGTAATTTTTCAAAGCTTGTAAGATGCGAAGCTTATGGGCTCATCCATCATCTCACCACTTACCTGTTGTAAACGTTTTCTGATAAACGGAAATAAAAGATGACAATGCAGATATGTATAAAAAATTTCAGGCAATCAAACGTTGATTCATTTTCACTGGTATCTGCATGCTGTTCAACCTAGAAACGAAATCGATGAGGTTCAAAGTTTTACGGTGCTGTGACAGGTTAACTGCCTTTAGTGTATTTTGAATAAATTATGTATTCTTAGCCTTTAACATTTTGTAGGATTCACTTTTTTCCCACACCGTATTTGTATACCTGTGTGTATTTTTTCCCTTTCTGTGTTAATATGAAGTTCTGTGATATTTTACAAAAAGTACCTTCGAACTTTTGTAGGCCGAGGAACTGAATACCATAATGGGAGAGGTTTTTCGCTTAGCGTATGCCCAGCAACGTCTTCATACAGTATCTAACAATCCTGTTTTGTTTCATCAGTTTGGTAAGCATATACCAGTTTGTCAGGTTCAGAAAGCTCCCATAACTGTCACATATTCTGTTTCTGCTAACCAGGATAACTCAGTGAGCACAAAATCTTCAAGGTTGGTATTCTGGATTTACTCTTCTCTTTACTTTTGTAGAATATTATTGCCGGTTTATATCATTAAATAAAGATTGAAATTGTGGCTTGAATTACACTATGACTTACCGGATTTTAGTTTTCTTTTCAGTTAAGTCGTGGATTTAAGTCAGCAATACGAGATGAATAAAAGCGGGTGTAGACCATTCACTATTTTATAAACTTCTCGCTTTCGACCGGGCTATCTAGATTATGTTTTATCTTTAGTTATCTATAAAAACTTTGGAGGCAGCTACTCAGATATTAGACTGTTTATTTCCCGAGAACAATCAGTATGGTCTTTTGATTGATACTATGTTGATATTTCATGGGAAATTGAGCAAGTGCACATTTATGATAAGTTCTTACGTTGCTTATAACGCTGACCGGCATTAAAATCAAGGGTTTTCAAGTCACTCTGGTCTCAGTCTAAAACCATTAATTTCAATAACGGCAAAAAGTTTCAGAAATTTGGTGCCTTAGCTACGAAGGTAGTTTTACTTATTAACTTCGCTAGCATCAATGGTACATAACGATCAATTTAAGGGTATATAGTCTCACTTTGACAACAACGCATGTCAATTTATTGAAATAGACATTTCGTTCAAGTAAATATCCCTTGATAACACTGTTAGATAATCCATGATCTTTATGATCGTTTACTTGATGGTTCTAGTAGATTCATTCAGTTGCAGTCATTGAAACAAATATGTCTTCCGTTTTTAGTTTTCTACACTACTGTCAATACCTGTAATCCTTATTTCTCACACACTCAGCCTTAACCTTTGTCATTGTCATATTTGATGGCTTTATTTTCCAAATTATTTCAACTAATAGAAGTACAAGCACAAGTGCCTAAGTGGAATAATAGATGCTACGAAAGTCACTTATAGCTGATCTCTTTTCGCGATAGATTATATATTCAAATTATGGTATTTCTAAAAATGAAATATCCAAAATGAGAATTACCTGTTAAAATATAGACATAATGGCTAGTTGTTTAAGTTAGTAGAGCTGTGGAATAATTACTGAAGTACTTTCAACCAGTAGGTTGCATGTTGAAATACTGTCCCATTTACCTCGGTTTCGACAACCTAGTGGTACCAATAATCCTCGCAAAAACAATATAACTCAAGGCAAGTATACAAACATTTACTCCGTTAATTAATTATATTAATTTAAATTTTTAATTTAGTTATTTAGATCACATTGTTTTTTTATACATTGATATACCCCAATTTGTTGGTTGATATCTGTTTCCTATAATCCTATTAACTTGTTTCATTGCATTAATAAAGTTTTACGTTAGGTTCGTTTATCATTATTTGTTTTTTAGTCAAGCTGTCTACGCTGTCAACGTAAATCCGACCAGTCAAATATCCATGCCTAGCAAACTTCTTCCGCCTTTACCAGAAGCTGATCATTGTGCAGCAAGTAACCAGACACCTGTTTCTGTCCAGTTTGAAGTTAACAATATTCCATCAAGTGAAGTTTGTGCTGTCGGTGATAGACAGAGAGGAAGTAAACCTCATAAGTAATTATTAGTACTAATTATCTGGTAGCTTATTGACCCAACATTTCGAATGTTTCTTTTGAGCTTTGCTTGTTTACTTACTGACCTTACTTTCTATAAGACACTTTTGTTCAAATGACTTAAATAGTTCAGATTTTCAATAGAAAATTAGGATACGCATTGTCTGGAGTGGTATTAATTGTCACGCGTCTTATAGTGCATTAGATCGTATTTTTTAATCCTAAACGAATATCGATTGAGAGTGTCAGAAAAATACTGACGTATAAGCGGTTATTGTGTTCCAATTAATTTTCTTCACAATTCCAAATTGCTAGGCTTCATTCTTATCTGTCATAGTAATTATCTGTCGTCGTCCTCCAAACAGTTTGCTTCGGTTCGGGCACCCGGGCAGTATCACAGCCCTCACACATATCGAATGAGATTTGTGTGGCGCATATGTATTTGGCGCCTCCTTGTACTGTGATAGTTATCATAAAGTTCCATTGTGTGTGGTGGGTGCTATTTAGTCGACAGACATAAGTAGTATGTAACACCAATCAGAAGTTGAATGCCTGTCAAAAGAAGGTTGAAGAGATTGCAATAGAAAAAGCAGAAAGGAATTGTGAAATGGAGAAATCATGAAGGTTGTGAAGGACAATCAATGGAGGATTTGCAAATTAAGTATTTAATATGTGGTTTTCATATTTTACGAAAGAATTCTGTAATTTTGCATTGAATAATAAATTGGTTGTCTCCACCTAAGCGTTCGTTCACTACAAGTGTACTACACACTAATTGTTATTTACTAAGTGTCTGATAACTATTCGTGTTGCTGATATCTATCGACTGGTAACTGATATTTCTGTTTTAATTTGTGGGTTTATGATTCTAAATTCTGATCATTCGTAAATCGATATTCCACTAATATGTTTTGATAATATCGCCAAATATCATAAAGTTAGTCACCGTAATCTGCTGATATTGTATTCAGGAGTGCAGCTTTATCTCCTAAAATCGGCCTGCATGGAGTCATTGCCTACCTCATGAGTCATTTATCAACTATTTTGTCGAAACGAAGTTTTTTCACATTAAAAATAAGTTACATAAATAATATATTTAGTCTAGTTAAAATAGTTTTTATCAGCCGTATATAAAACCTAAGTTAATGCATTCACCTTAGAAATGCTTCTGGTTGTATTATGTATACTGTGTCAGATGACGAGATGGCTTAGTGGTTATGTGCCGGGCTTTTGACCAGTAGATTTCATGTTAAAATTCTACCTCTATCTTTATCAGAGCACCTGAGGTGTATCACTACCGCTCACACTAATAATGTAACTCAAAGTCTAGTAAACAAGATTGTACCTGTTCAGTGGGAATCAATTACTGCGTGAAATAAACGTTTCCTATCAAATTACCGATTATTTAAGGTTTCCATTTTTTATTTCTGTTTTTGAAAGAGTGGTTTACATTTTATTCAAAATATGGTGTTAAGTTAAAGTAATGTCTAGAAATTCCCATTTCGTTAGTCAAGTTTTCACTTTCACTGAAATTCATTAATTTGAAATGGTGTTATTCTTCTTTGGGATATATTTTACGAAGTTTGGTTGTTGTTGGTGCCTTTTCAAGTTGTTTTATGCTTATCTTAAAAATTATTTCATAGAATCATTAAATACCTACATTTGTACTATCTGACCTATGTACGAGTCTTGTACAGAACCTCTACATTCACAGTGTAACAAGATGAATAGTAACTTACCAACATTATTGTTGCCATCTGTTATTCAGTCCTTGGAAGGACCTTACAGTCTTAAAACGGATGAGTATTTAGATTTTGTTGCAATTCCTACCCTTACATGTGTTTTTTATTTTTATTTTTTACAGACATAAACATCACAAGCATCATCATCGTCATAAATTACGAGATGCAACAACAAGTACGTGTGAACAACTTTTAGGTTCGAGCGACTCTGTTGACCCTACTATTAAAGTTAATGAATCGGAAGGACTCATAATGAAGAGTGAACAGATAAAGCCACCTCCCCCACCACCGCGTTCTCATTCATCAGTAACTTCATCTACGCAGCTGTCAACTAAGAATATCACATCTACCCCAGCTGCAAATCACCAAAGCCCAATTTTAAAGCATCATGAAAAATTACACGGAATGGAAGTAAATAAAACCCCACATGAAATGACTGAAGATCCTACTGAGGTTTTACCGTTAAGACCTAAATCTACGACATCTGCGTAAGTTCAATGTCTTTTTACGAATCTTTTCTCCTTTTTATTACATCGATGAAGAATATGATAGAATCATTTGTGCTGTATGAATTCCCTCGCCTTACGTCAGGACAATAGCTTTTCCTTAATATTATAATGATTTCTTATTGACAACTTTTTACTGAATAAGGAAATTAAATTCTAATTAATTGTCCAGAAACAATCGCTTAACAGTTAAAACGCTCAAAAATCAGACCGCTGGTTCTAACTGTTATATTTCAAGTGAGAGGAACAGACAGCAAACGAATAATGTAACCGAAGTACGAATCACATTTTACTTCTGTATAAGGCTTATCCGCTACTCAGTGTTAATCGATTTGTCTCCCTACATATGAAACTAATAAAATAGTAAAATGTTATTACAAACTTGATTAATCTTATTTATATTAACAATTTGGTTTTTTTCTTCTTAAATATCACTTAGACTGGCACAACACTTCTATGATATGGCTGATCATCGCAGCTGTGGTGGTATCGCTCCTGACAAAGAAACTGCTATTCCAGAAAAAGATATGCAAGAAAGTAACGCTGAATTTATCAATGATAGTGCTCCAGCCAATACGTCTACAGCAACAACGACGTCATCATCAACTACTGGGTGCTCAACCGCTACATCTGGCTCTGGTCATCCTGACTCCAGTTCTGATAATAGTTTACCGATTAGCAAACGTTGTACATGCACTCCAGGTTGCACCAGTGGTGAACATACGTGCTCAATATTTGGTAATAATCCGCATCCTGGAGATTCGAATCAGTTGCTGAAACCCACTGAACAGCACCTTCCCGTTCCTCCCACATCTCCGTGCTCCACTCCAAACGTCCCTACACAAAATGTTCCAGATGATATCAATGAGTTGTCGCATGCTCCTTGGTATCTTCCAGATTTACCACGTGAAAAGGCTTTGGAAATGCTTGCCAAACAACCTGTATGTTTATCCTCCATATACATTTTTGCATGGGTTTTGTTTGTGTTATAATTTCTCTTGTTACAACCCAGCTACTCCTATTGCTTAGTATTCTTGGACACTGCTTCGCTCGGCAAGTCCCCAAATTAGGACACGGTTGAACAGGAACGCAATTATATTCCAAATAAAAAGGCTAGATGGAAGTAGGAATCGCAATAGGAGAAACATTAGTATATTTATAGTTTTTTTTACACGGGCAGGTTCTAGAGTCTTCTTCAGGTATCCTTTAGCGCTGATTGGATAAGAAATAGCCAATCAGTGTGCCCCAAAATAATCCTGCACGGAACGTACTTTAATCTACATCCCACCAACAGTTTGCCTCACTATCATACCGTGGACTATCGGAAATAGTTCTGTTATGAAGGTTATGTTATTCTTATTTTATTTTATTTGAACACATAAATATTGGTACAAGTGGGCACCAAATATGTATGCGCCACACAAAACAATGAGAAAGGGAAGACAGAAAAAGAAGGTAGGGAGCGTAAAAGGAAAAAAGAAGAGCAATAACGACCAGATTAGTGTAGGGTAGTGTAATAATAATAATGGGGAAAAAGGAAAGGTACAATTAGAAGAATTCTTTCGGTTAAGGAAGATACAACCAATTTTTATGGAGAAAAAAAGGATGTTACAGCAGGATCGTTACTGGCTTCTATTCTGAGCCATATCTGATAATGTCTCTAGCCACTGTGTCGTACCATCTCTCGGACCCCAGCCAGGGAGTCGTGAAGGACCAACAGAAACCAGCCCTTTGCAGATTTCTTTCATACCACGACACCATGTCATACACTGACCACCTCTTCGCTTTTTCCAACCAGTCCCAGAGTCGGCAAATAATGCACGACGTGGAATTCTCTGGGACGACATTCGTAGAACATGTCCATGACACTGAAATCTATGTTTCAACATAGTGACACCAATGAAATTATCGTCTCTGCACCCAAACACACGATGCCGGACCTCTGCATTACTAACATGGCGTTGCCACTGGATGTCAGCAATCCTACGGAAACAACGATGATCAAACACAGAGAGTCGTCTAATATCCTCAACTCGGAGAGGCCAGGTTTCACAAGCATAGAGCAAAAGTGGTCTCACCGACGCGTTGTCGATCCGACCTTTTACAGCCGGACTAACATTACGAAGGCGTTAAAGGTGGCCCAGATTGGCATAAGCCACTCTGGCTTTCACTATACGTGCATTGATCTCATCACTCACACCCCCACCAGCACTTATGCAGCTACCCAGATACACGAACTTCTCGACTACTTCTATCTGCTCACCATCCAGGGTGAGTACAGGATTGGAATCCTGCCAGTCTTGTAGAGGTACTTTGCAATTCGAAGGTGCAAAGCACATACCATACTTACGGACACTGATTGCCAACTGATTAAGTGCGGATTGCATGCCTTGGGCATTATCGCACAGTAAGACAATATCGTCCGCATACTCAAGGTCGAGAAGTCTTTCTCCAGGCAACGGATCCACACCTCCATTACTTACATTCATCAGAGCTGTTTCCAGAATGTCATCGATGGCAAAGTTGAAGAGGAATGGTGAGATTGGGCAACCCTGCCTAACCCCACTGCTCGAATGGAACAATGGAGAGAGGTGGTTGTATGCCCTCAGTCTGCCTGAGGTGTTTGTATATAAGGCCTTTAAGATTTTAATAAACTTCTCAGGCACACCCTTCTTCAATAGAAAATCCCAGAGAACAGTCCTGTCCAACGAATCGAAGGCAGCCCTTATGTCAAGAAACACTACGATTGTTGGCCTGCGATAAGTATGACGGTGTTCTAACATTTGGCGGAGGGTGAAGATATGATCAATACATCCTCGACCAGAACGAAAACCAGCCTGCTCCTCGCGAGTCAATCTTTCTCGGGTTTTGAACAACCTACGAAGTATGACGGAAGCCAATAGTTTGGACGCAATCGGAAGTAGACTTATCCCCCGATAGTTGTTACTGGAACGACGTGAACCCTTTTTAAAGATAGGGACAACTATCGACTCATTCCATGACGTTGGAACACTGTCTAGCTCCCAGACCTTTGTAAACAACGTCCACTTGCCAGAAAGTCATCAACATCTCTAAAAAGAGCCGGAGGTAAGTCATTTGGGCCCGGTGATTTGTAACTCTTCAAGAGTTGGAGTTCCTTATAGAGTTCCGCCTCATTTGGTGGATCAGTCGTCACCGTCCATGGAGAGCATGGCAGTTCGACCGATGTTGCTGGACCAGCAGGTCTATTGAACTGCCCTTCGAAGAACTCTGCCCATCGTCCAAGAAATCGATGGATGTTAGTGATTGGCATCCCATCATCCTCGCAGATTTTTTCGCTCACACCAGACTTCTTGCCGCCAGTGGCTCGGATTAGTTGGAAGAGCTTCCGGTAGTTACCAGATGCACCTGCTGCTTCTAGCTCATTAGCACGCTCCGAACACCAGGCTTCTCGGTATTTTCGGAAGCTTTGTCCAATTTCATTACGTAACAGCCTTTGTTTGTGGTCAAACTCACGGTCACTCGGAGTAGAACGACGGGTCTCGATGAGTTGTAAGGAACCTGAAGAAACCCAGTGCTTATAAGCGAGACGTTTCGCGAACCCACAACTGACTGTACCCCATATTTTCACGGCGTCATGCAATTCCAACCAATACTCATCTATGCTTTTCGGTGGAATGGTAGCTAGCCAAGAAACTAGCTCGGTTCGATACTTACTAGTAACAGAAGTAGCAACCAGCTTGCTAACATCAATCCGTTGGTGGCGGTCTCTTCGTTGGCCACTGAAAAGTAAGGTAAGATTGGCGCAGACCAGGGCATGGTCAGAGTCCAGATAGGTACTCCAAACGGAGCGGCAGTCTTGTATACAACCACGCCAGCGGTAGCTGATCGTGATGTGATCAATCTGAGTCCAGGCTTGAAATGCAGAGGGAGGACGCCAAGTGGCACATCGGTGATGACTGTGCCGAAAGTTAGTGCTATCCAGAAACAGGTTGTGGTCTGTGCAGAGTTGCAGTAGATGGGCCCTGTTATCTTTCCTGCTACCAACGAGTTCCCATCGGCCACCTAAACGACTCTCTTCTGTGCCTAGACACCCGACCTGAGCATTCAAGTTTCCGGCTAGTACTACAATATCTGTCGAACGCACTTTCTGGAGAAGAACAGATATCTGGTGGTAAAACTCATTCTTGATTGCATCCGGGCTGCAATCTGTCGGGGCATAGGCGGAGATGACGAAAAGACATCGTTTCTCACGCCGATTTCTTCTCACTTTGATGGAACTCTCTAATCTACCGGCACATAACCGACTGTTAATGGGGATCCAATCGATTAGTGCTGCCTCAGCTCTAGCGCTCAGTGCGACACCAATGCCAGCGAGACCAGACGAAGATGCCACAGGGTCCCCGGATAAGCGCACGTAAAACAAGCTTTTCGAAGTGACAAATGGAGAGCGAATTTGTAGCACTTGGCCAGAGTCTTTAATACGGGTCTCGGATAGACAACAGATGTTGATATTAAGACTTTCTAAATACATAGCCAGCCCTATCTGTTGTCCGACCTGCATAAGTGTGCGAACGTTGAAGGCAGCCAGTTTGAATGGTGCACGTGGTTTCAGAAAAACTGCTTCAGTATTCGTATTTGGTGGTAGCATACAATTTTCAACCGGACAGTGACTCGAGAACGTTTATATAGAACCGAGTTTCCACTATAGGCGAGCTGCTGCATAAGTCGAAAAATAAGGATACACAGAGTGGGAATAAAAGAGAGTGAATAATTGACGTGGTAAATAATAGTACTAATAATGTGAATTGTCTGACTGTAAATCGATGCGAGAATAGAATTTTCAGTAAATATCGTCATTTTCATTTTATTTGTGTGTGGGCTGTGATACTGCTTGGGTGCCCAGACCTAAGCAGCTGGTTTTCTTAAGAGGCCACACCTCGAGCCTTTGACCTAAAAGTCTGACCCACAAGGCAGTGGAGCATCGTGTGGAGATGCAGTCCCATGGTAGCCGGTGACCAAAAAATCGGTTCATACGCCATTTTTTCCCTCAGGATACTGGAGCCCATGTGCACCATTGGTTTGGAATCCGGTTAAAGCGCCGGACATTCGCTTTTCGTCCTCTCATTCTGTAGACAACACCCCCGCCACGAGAAGGCAGTGAGTAGGACTTCCTTGGAAGAGGCTGTATACGCGTGGTCGTGTGAGAGCATTTCAAGAGGGAGGGCGGGCCAACCCCACTCTCGGCCATACCAAGGCATTTGGGGGCTGACGATTATGTGTTAAATATACTTCCAAATTACTTTATTACGAACAGTTGTAATTTATTCTAAATAGAATGCTTTAGTTAAATTACTAAGGTTATCATTGAAAACAATAGTTATCATTACTAAGTGGTCTGAAAGGGCTATTTAATTACTTTTTAAATTATTCTTACCCCAAAATCTGTATGTTTAATCATTGCAAATAATTTGTACTTATAATGCATTGATGAGTATATATTTGTTATTGAGACCTAACACTCAAACTAAATCTCTTTAAACACTTGCTGGCAGTATCTATTCGAACAACATATATTTCTTTGGTCATTCTAGTTCACGTTTTTTTGTGTGAACGAGTAGTATTTGCTAGTGCTGGTTAGTATGTCATTGGTTTAGCTCAGGGAAAGTTAATAAAAGTCGATATTCCGATTGGTGATTTTGTCATATGATATTTGACAGGGTCAAAAGGAAATCATAACAATTGGTGATGTGAAATTCGGAAAAAAGCCATAATAATTGACGGGTATTTTGAGAAAATAACAATAACAACAGTCTCAATGTATAATATTGCAGGACAGGGATTTATGATTGAAAAAGAATCCTGCACCCAATAAACAGCTGCTCTCATCAGGAAATAAGGATTACTGAAATATTTTAAACCCACATTTGTTTGCCGAGTATTTGAAAACGTGCAACAGAAAAATAAGATTAAAGTCTTTCTGTGGAGAAAATGGCGACACTGTTTCAGCATTAGCAGCAGTTTTAAAAATTGGTTGGGATTCACAGAAAAATTACAAATAGGGCTGATCAATCATCCACATTTTAGAACTATGACGGAAATCGATGAATTGATCTTTAAATAGCATACAGAAGTGGTAAATTCCTTCAGAATGAACGTATCAACGAGGAGCTTCAGGAATGGTTGACAAGCAGTAATGTAAACGATACAGTAGCAGTCGTACCCGATCCTCCAAATGGTCGAGTGATGGTCATTTCAGAAACATGTCCTATGGTGGGTTCAAAACCAGTTATGCCCGAAGTAGAATGTACAATTAGTGAGTCGTCTTATTAAATGCACATGGAATTGTTGCAGTACCAGAGGACCAAGAACAAAAGATTCTGTAAATGAAGCTCCAAGTTCAGAACTGACCCTACATAACTCTGATGCTAAAATCCAGCCAAAACAAACTTATGGTTCACGTGATGCTTATCTCTGATCAGATTTCTCATGTTATTTTACTTGAGATAAGTTATCCTAATAATTCACATACATCTAATGAAGTTCTTAGTGAATTTTAGGAGTGTATTTCAGAAGAATCAAATTCTAGTGAAACTTCTGATTATGTCATATCATATGTTGTTTGTTCTCTCAATGTATTTGTTTTTAATGAAATCTTTGGTCACTGTAAGGTATAAGTCCTAAATGAATTCGAATCTGATTACAGTTCTGATAGTCTCCCACATTAAATGTTGTTTGTCCTCACAAAAGAGTCACTTCTAGTGAATTCTCTAGTCGGTATGAGAAATATGTTTTAAATGAGTCACATAGTTTGTTATTGACAGATCGAAATACAAGACATGCTTGTTCTTATTGTGACTGAAATAAGAGGACGTTATTTTTCATATGGAAGGCGAAACAAGGACCATGTTTAATATTACTCATACAAGTGAAGTTCGCATAAAGGGACTATCCAAGCCCTATGTAAACCTACACACTCGAATACTCACATATAATGAAGGTACGAGTAATGTTCAGTTCAGGTTAATAAGGTCACATTATTTGTAACATCAGTATACGAAGATCCAACACTGTTTCGTGGGTGAGGAAAATGTTGGAAAGTCGAAATTACTCACATATTTTTATTGGGATCTAACTTTATATGGAAACAGGCAAAATCATGTGAACACCCTATCTTCAAAAAAGGGAGGTGTTTTATCCGATCGAAGAATGGCATTCGCTAGTGCTAGTTGGTGTAATTGGTTTAGCTCAGGGAAAAGATCATAGAAGCCGATATTCCGATTGGTGATTTTACCACGTGATATTTGATAGGGTCAAAAAGAAAACCGTAATAATCTGGAACTCGAGTCATTGTCAGACTTAACACTTAAACAGCTTAGCAGCCATGCTGCGAAAATTGATCTTTAAAATTCGGTCAGCATCAAAAAGTAGACATGCTTCTGATTGCTTACCATACAGTAGTAATTTCGGACCTGATATTCTTTGCACCAGTTTGTGGTTCTCAAAAATAACCGCACGAAATTGTAGGTTACTAGATCACACTCACTCATTACTGAAGTATCTCTAAGATTTAAAACTAAGTCAACAACTATGGTAAATACTAAAATAAGTAGTTTGTCACAAGTTCCTTCATTTTACAAGGCTTTAAATGAACAACTTAAATTTTTATCACTTCTGTTACAATAGTTTTGTATCCTATTGCGATTACGATATATATGCATCTCAATTTGAAGACTAAATGATTTTTTACGACTTCAAATTGCTCGTGAATAATGGTAATTGATAGTTTGTCATTGACTAAGTTTTGCTGTGTAATCTCTATATCATTATTTTGGATGTATCTTTTACTCATGGTCTAAAATAGTTATTTATTTATTTCATTGATAGCCTGGAAGTTTTGTTGTCCGAGATAGCGGAAGTCATCCAAACAGCTTTGCGTTATCAGTACGTTCTAGTAATGGACAAGTAGCTGGTGGCTGTTTCCATTCTAGACAACCACATATACCAGGAAATCGAACTAAAGATACAGCCTCCCAGTTGACATCAGTTTATCCATCTTCTACAAGTGGAATAACTCACTTTCTTATCCAGAAGACATCTGGAGGTGGTGTGAAACTCAAAGTAAGTAGACTGAATGGTGCTTATTATATTTCAAAATGTTCCTGGTTTACCAAATCGATAGATTTCATTTTGCATTTAGAAGTATTTCTCATTACAAATAGATACTAGCTGAGTTATTCGTTACTGTGGTTCAGGGGTTATTGGTTATTTATTTTATCCTAATGTATTATATAGGAGATGAAATGCGAATAACACTTGGTACCAAATAATTCGCACTGTATGTGTTGGTTGTTTGTAGTTTACTTTCCCGAAAAGACCGAATAAAGCCTTATCATAACGTTGTTGGGAAGGACAGTTATTTTATAGTTTTGTATGTCATTTAAAAATCCTATACTAACCACTGTAAGCTGTATTGAAAGGTGATATAAAGGACTATAATAACTGGGAATCCTTGTCTTTTGACGAAAGCACCGTTCTACTTAATTCTTGTAGCACTGAATGTGTAATTTTACCATCAAATATAGATCATAATGTGAGTCACGTATATTATATGAGTAGCTTATTTTGGTCTTCTTGACTCAGCAATTCTTTACACAGGAAGTGCAGTTCCAGTCAGCGTAACTCTATTGGGCTACCTTGGTATGTAAGTTTAAGTGAAACATCATCCCGAAAAGACCGATATTAAGTAACTGGTTATCTAGAAATACAGAGTTAACATGTTCACTGGAAAATATGAATAAACATCAGAAGCTCTCAGAAAGCAGCAATAAGTGATAAAGTTTCTTCTAGCCTTATATATATTGAAAGAGCTTAGTGTCTAATAGTATGCCCGCATAGTTCTTTCCTTGCAATTTTTTAAACTAGTGGATACTCTTTATCACTTATAAGTGATTTTATAACATGAAGCTATTCAATTTATAGGGAATCGTCCAGGTAGTACCTAGTTATAATTACAATATTGGACGAATGTGTAGTTTCATCAAATTCGAATTATGACAACTAAATAAGCAACCTTTAATTGAAAAAATATAGTTTTTAGTGTAGCATCTTTGCCAGTTAAATTCTAACATTTAAATATTTGGTTTTATACTCTTAATGTAATTTGTTTGACAGGTTATTAGCATTCTAGACTTCAAAATATTTATACTCAAAATTCATTACTTTATAAATCTCAGTCTAGCAAACCTTACTCAGTGTGTCGTAATTCAATAAAACGATTTCTTGTTTATTAAACGTGTTTTCGACGTTTAAACTGTTATTATTACACTGATTAAGATAATTTTTGGATATTTTAAGATGATTATTATGGTCCTTTGTATTGCACAACAATTAATCCTTTCTTTTTTATGTTTGAAAATCCTCAATCCTCGTTTATAATCCATGCTGATTTTTTAAAATTTATTTTAGGGATTAGATAAAGAATGGCCATCACTTGCTTGTCTTGTTTTACACTTAACTGTAATGCCTGAAATGCTCCCTTGCCCACTTCGACTTCCAAGAGCTGCAGCAAATCCCACGTTCTCGCCTACTGACCATTTTGTTGGTCATAATGACTTTGAGAAACCGCCTAATGTTACCCCGTCACAATTTCGTCCAACGTGCAATGCCTTACAACGTGTAACAGATACAATTTCACTAGATGAAGCTTTAGCTCGTCTAACAGATGAAGACGAAGATTATCAGCGTTTATCTGATTTCTCTTCCATTATGGCTGATTTAAAATTACAGCCTAGAAATGTGAATAGAAAACATAAAGTTTCATCTAAATCCGGTGGCCGTGGTAGATAAATACTTTTTTTTTGTTATTGTTATGATACGAAATCTTATTATAAGTTGTATTAGTACTATCACTTTACTACCTATCAATGTTTTGTGAGATAATTGTCTTACTTCTTTTTTTTTTCTTACCTTTGTAAAGTTTCTGTATTTGTGTGTGCGCGTGTGTATGTGAGAAAGAGTTTTTATCGTATATATTATTTTCTCTATTGCAATACAAACTACCTCTTCAAATAAAACTAAATACCCAATGTGTGTCTGGAAAAGGAAAACAACATTTCTAGTCCAATTTCTATTAAATTAGTTTATTATTTTTTCTCTCTCTTAATTATCCATTTTGCTTGCTTTAAACGCATAATGATATGTAATGCGTACGCTAAGTTATATTATAATATACGTATTACATTTACATTATTTTATTGTTAATTAAGTAATACTAGTTAGTATTAATTGAATTATAATCATGACTTGATTTCATTCTTTTTTTCGTTGTCCATTATTATAGGTATATGAATTTTTTTTTTAAAATTCAATATTATTGTCATTAATTTTTGTTCTATTCACTTTTTAATTGTTTAATTATAATTTATTATGTATATTCTTTCTATTTCTCTAATAATTTTCACCCATTTTAAAAAGAAAATTATTATTACTGGAATAGCATGAATGATAACATGTTGTAAAGTCACTGTTATGTGCTGCTGCCCAACCAGTTCGTTAGAGGTCTTATTAATAATAACAATAATATTTTGGTATATTAATTTCTGTTTTTTTTGACAAACCGGTATAATTCATTCATTCTCACTGAAATGTACTATTTAACACTTCCTCCTTTTTTTTCTTCATTTGCTTCATCCTCTTATTTTGATCTTAATTTTACCTTTTTTTTCTTAGAAATAAAGGAATTAACGCAAAATACTACCTGGTGTATTTATTTGTTTAAGTAAAGTGTTAAGGCATTTAACTGTTATATTTTCATCATTTGCAATTTTATATATATATATATATATATATATATATATATATATATATATATACGCGTACATCATGTCAAGGGTATTCATTTTAATTGTCTTTTTACCATTGAAAATAAAGTGTACTTTTATTGTATTTAAATTTTTGCTTTCTGTCTTCTCTTTTTCAATATATATTTAAGTAAGATGATTGGATTCGGTGTTTTTTCTTCATAAGTATAAAAGGTTGTAAATATCTTTCTGGATTAATTAGTACATACTACAAGTGTACCATTACTGTCTTTAAGTTTACTTTCTATTGAGATATGTTTATTTACAATTTATTTCTCAATTGTTCATGTCCTAATGTCGACTAAGTATCGTGTTTATATTTTGAAACATTGATACAAATAACTTATGAAGGCTAAGCATTTTCATCTTATAATTTATTTATTTGGACACATAAAAGTTAGTACAAAGGGGCACTAAATACATATGCGCCACAAGATAATAATAAGGTTGTGAAGAACTAGAGAATGAAGGGTTAGTATTATAAAGGAAAAGCAACAACGAACAGAAATTGGTGAATGAGAGTGAAATAACAATAGTAATAGTAACTATACTAGTGATAGTAATAATGATAATAATGTGATGAACAATTCATTTAGAGAAAAAAATACAAGAAAGAATTTATAGTCAAAGAAATCACGTTTACTTTTATGAAGAAAGTAGAGTCACAGCAGGATCGCCACTGGCTTCTACTCTGAGCCGTTTTTGATAACATCTGAAGCCACTGTGTTTCACTGTCTCCAGGACCCCAACCAGGGAGTCGTGAAGGTCCAACAGAAGCAAGTCCTGTGCAGCTTTCTTTCATAATATGACGCTAAGCTATGTGCTGATCACTCGGCTTTTCACAACCAGTCTCAGTGTTAGCAAATAATGTATGACAAGTAATTCTCTGGGACGACATTCGTAGAACATGTCCAAGCCACCGAAGTAGGTGTTTCAAGATGGTGACATCGATTGCATTATCATCTCTGTGCCCGAACACACGATGCCGGACCTCTGCATTACTAACATGGCGTTGCCACTGGATGTCAGCAATTCTTTGGAGACAACGATGATCAAACACCGAAAGTCGTCTAACATCCTCAACACGGAGAGGCCAGGTTTCACAAGCATAGAGCAAAAGTGGTCGATTGAAACGTAAGATAAGATTAGCTCAGACAAAGGCATGATCAGAGTCCAGATAGGTACTCCAGAAGGAGAGACTGTCTTGCACGCAACCACGACAGCGGTAGCTAATCGCGTTGTGATCAATCTGAGTGTAGGTTTGAGGTGCAGTGAAGGGACATGAGAAAGCACATCGGCGATGACTGTGCCGGTCATTAGTGCTATCCAGAAACGGGTTGTAGTCTGCACAAAATTACAGTAGACGGGCAGTCGAACTTATAAAGGAATAAAACGACTTTTTTACTTCATAAAATTTAAGGTATCTTTTATTATGTTTATCGTGAATACTGATGCTGCTCTTTCTACGAATAAATGTAAAGTGGCAGCATTGAAATTTGGACCACCTTTCTTGACCAGTTTGTCGAAGGCGCGGACTTAGCAGACTTTTTGTATTGAATAGACTGATACGCAATTCTTAAACCAAGTTTTATTCCTATTATGTAGAACATAGAAATAAGTATTCTGCTGTATTCTTATTCACTAGTTATGTGTAATACACAGAGGCAAAGTACATTAGATACATTTGGCTTACTGTCTAACCTGTTTTTGGTGTTATTCTACCGAAATTATTGAAAGTCCACATTGTTTTCCAATTACTTTTAATGCCAATAAATAACGTTCATACTACATCTGTGTACTTCACATCTAGTTGCTTATTTTTATTAGACATCTCGTTTGCTTTTCAAGTTTTATCAGACTGTATTTTTGATTATGTGATAATGAAGTAATTGCAAGCTCAACGCTAACAGTTATTTCTATTATTGATTGTATCACGACCACAGGTTCAAATCCTTAGTCTTTGAAGGTGTAGAAGAATGAGGAATACGAATACGATACTGCAAACAGTTCTAAATAATCCTATCTCAAGTTTTCAATACATAAATACAGGAGAATCGGGAAATCCGCTAGTTGGGTGAAAATGTTTACGTTTTAGTAATTAGTTGTTATATCAATCTTGTAATATTTCGATGATGATATGTCAGTACGTAAATAATGATCATCAGTATGTTAGGTGATATCGTTTCCCGATAACATAAATACCTGATTGAATTCTCAAAATGACCAAGTTGTTCCATATATTTAGTGCCTTTAATAGATTTAGAAATAAAACTAATTTTTGTGTTTGCATATCAACGTTTACTATCCTTAGTGTTAAAACTTTTGTCTTCTTCCTGCTATTACGATGTTCACACTGCTTTCGAACATACATTTCAACTTTATTAACTAAAGTACTTATTGTAACTTTTAGCTGTTCACAGTTGATAAAAAGAATCTGAAATAGGATGAATCCACTTTTTCTTAAAATCTTATTGTTCTCGCTTTGTTTAGATAAAGTATTTGTTCATTATTATCATGTAATATTTACAAAGTACACCTTAATATTCCGTTTCACAATTAGACTTAGAATACTTAGTCATATAGAGACCTTCTTTCTACATTTTCAGAATTATGTTGAGAGAATTTTAAATAATTTAATACCAAATATTCGAAAACGTGGTTTAACTCCTTTCATTGCCTTTATCTATCTTAGTTCTTGTTCTTAATTTTAAAGGCGTAAATATTTCCTAGTCGAAATTTTCGTTATCATACAGCACTAAAACAAATAGCTGTACAAACTATGTATGAAAATACAGTGACTGTAAAATGGTTGTAGATTAATGTGAATCTCAGTTATTATCGTTGAAAGATATATGACGGTTTGGAGGGTAAATTTTCTGCAGTACTGAATTTAGTCCATATTGTTTTCAGGAGACGAGTAGGTTTAGTTATCTGAAATTAATGAAATACGAAAAAAATGATCACTTACTTTTCATCGATAATAAAAGTTAGATTAATGACTTAAATACTACACGTGGTATTTATAACTAGATGATATTTAATACAAGTCGAATTCGGTTATTTATTCATTCTCAGAAAAATTGACTTAAGCTAAGTCGTGAAACATCAGAATTTTAAATTTCTACTCATTATGATTTATAAAATATCTCAATATTTTGGGCTCAATTTATTTGAAATTATCGAGTCGAACATGGGCTACGATATCTACATGCACTGTTATGTCACATATATAGTGTCGTTCATATTCTAGTTAAGATGTTCGTTTGAAAGCTAAGTGGGGGACTCAAGATGTGACATCTTGACAATACCTTGTGGAAATCATATTGTATTTGTTTAGTTTAAACGACAATGCAAATGTTAGCAACCACCTTTATTATTTATCTTTTCATTGATTATACGAGTAGAAAAAATTGTAAGTGGGAACTTGGCTTCGAGATAAACTAGCAAATATTTAGAGATCAAAACAGGATGACTGGAAATCCGTGACTATGAGTTTCCTCTTTATTTTAGTTTCGTCAACTTTATACCTTCAACATTTAATTATTACTCCAAATTTACTTTCCACTGATCAATTGATATTCTCTGTTTTTATTCTTATATCTGTTCACTACTTAAATTATATTTTCCTTTGTTCGTTGATAATGCATGTTTTTTCCACATTCGTAAATCAATCTCTGCCTGTTGTATCCACCAAATCAAAAGTAAACTCTGATATAATTGTCATGGAGGTATATTTCTAAATCACAACCTGTAGAAGTTCAAAATAATTTCATTTTATTACTTGTAGCTATTTGTTTATTTTTTAAAGTTTTCACTGGCAACTGGATATGATAAAGGAAGAAGAAAAATATAATTTAACTGTAACTTACTTGTTCATTGTGTGATTCAGTATTAGATCTTGTAGTAATTCTGTCAATAATTTGTCCAGCTAAATTCTTCACCAATGGATCCGAATCATTTGAATGCATATTATTTAAAAGTTGTAAT